TTTTTTGCGTTTCCAGGTTTTGCGTTTTGCGTTGGTGATTTATGCGTTTCGAACCGAGTCATCGTTTTTTGCGTTTCCAGGTTTTGCGTTTTGCGTTGGTGATTTATGCGTTTCCAACCGAGTCATCGTTTTTTGCGTTTCCAGGTTTTGCGTTTTGCGTTGGTGGTTTGCGCGTGAGAAATCGGGAATTTACCGTTTCCGTTCGGAAATTTTCCGATAGACTACTTTAGTATTACGGACATTTTGCGTCATCCGCCGCGAAATTATGCGTAGTCGTAAACGTACACTCCAAGGGAGCCAATAGCCATTAGCTTTTGAATCCAGCTAAGTTTTAGCATCATTCCTTCCATTTCTCCTTGTAAACATTCCCCTTGTCTCCACACTCTCCCTTCCTTGCACGTTCACGATTTTCATTCAGTTTTTGGCTCAATTTGTTCGGGTTTCCTTTACTCCACCTCTATCTCTCCCGCATGATGCCGCACGAGACTACCAACCAGCCATCCGTACCTTGAGATTGTGCCTTTTTCTGCTTCTCACACTGGTGACGGGCGTTATTTTTTTTCCTCACACCTTTTTCCGCGCACATCCGGTCGACGGCTAAGGGTGACAGTGATTATGACAGCTTTTATGCTCGCCTGTCGCCAGACTTGTTGACAGTTTTTATCCTGGCCTGTCCACAGGTTCGCAAAGTCCAATGGGTGGGTTAGGTGGAGGGGAGACGGCTGGGTTGGGGTGGGTCGGTGGAGGCGTGGTGGGCGAGGAGCTGGCCAAGAGGCAGGGGGGCTCCGTCGATGTTTGCTTGTGGGGCGGAGTCCAAGCCCTGGAGGGATGCCGCATAGGCCGTGAAAGCCGCATGGGTGAGAGCATGGCGGACCAGCGGTGAAGCAAAGCTGCCGTGACTGCTTGCCGGAGCAGTGGTGTGGCTTGTCGTGCCCGGTGTTGCGCCAGGAGGCGGAGGAAGGTGCAAGCTTCCTCGCTCCACCATCCTCCGGTTTCCAGGACGACGAGGCGACAGCGGCCGCCACGGGTGAGCTCTGGATAGACCCGCTCTTTGTTGCGGCGAGCGTCGCGCAATGCTGCCCCTGCATATCTGCCATGGCGATGTCTGGGTTGGCTCTCCCGGGTGAGAGGGGAGATCGAGGGTTTGGACATTGGGTATGTTCAAGTCTGCTACCCGGGTGTTGGTGGTCACCCTGGCCCCGGCCTCACGGCAAATGCGAGCTGCTGCTCGTTCAAGTGGCCCGCCGCGACTGCGCAAGAGCCCCGACTGTGCACAAGCTGATCGATGGTCGCCAAGTGTGTCAAGAGTGCGACGGCATCGACAAGTCCTGGTGGACAGGGGGGGGGGGCAAACGGAGTCTCCGAAGCATAAGTGTTCGGAAGAGTAGGTGGACTCGGCGGTGTATGGGATGCTGGTGAATGCTCGGCTCGCATATGGTCCGGACTGGGAGTCTAGAAGGGCTTGGGCTGGGGGCAGGTGGCTGTACACCTCGGCCCTGCAGGCTTGGTGGGTGGCCTTGGCCGCGGGCTGCTGCCATCCTCGGTGCTGGGGGCCCACTGGCTCGGGGTCGGCTGGGGGTGGCCCGTTGTGGCCGATTAGGGTGTCCCACGAAGGGGGTTCCCAATCGCAAAGCCGAAGGGCTTGTGCAGCGGCCACTGCTGCTTGGATGGCTGGGGATGCATTGGTGGGGTCGCGCAGTTGTTGGGTGATGGGGTGGGCCAGGCTGGGAAGCTGTCGCTGGAGGACGGGGAGGGTGTCGGCCCAGGACCCCCACTGCGCAGCATTGGCATTGATGGTTGCGGCGGTCAAGCCTAACCCGCCCTCGGATAAGGGCAAATGAGCGAGGGCCAAAGCACTGACTGGGAGGGGCCTGCTCTGCAGCAATTCTGTCAGGCACGTGGCAACGGTTTCGTCATGGCGTGTGGAGAACTCAGCGGTAGCTGGTGGCGGCAACATCCGCAAGATGTAGTTGGAGCGAGGGCTGGCGCAAAAGAGCAGCAGGAGCCAAGAAGCCTGCAGGTCTTGCAAGTCTGGGAGACGAGACAGGAGCTCTTGATGGGTGGCTGAAAGGTTGTTGAGGTGCTGGCCGGCGTCACCCTCCATTGCACCTCGTCTACGTGATCCTGACGAACCCGAGATCGTCTCCACTTCCCGAAGAAAGCCCGCCCGATGGCACCACCACCCACATTCTGCAGCAGCAAGGAACTCCCGCTTCCATCCATCGCACCACTGCTATGACAACTACATCTACTTCGACGACACGCACTACTCCATACCCGCAACTAGTAGGCAGGGACGTCTGGAACACAAGTAGACCCCACATGTTGGGGTCTAGGATTATCTTCTCCGAGCTGTTCTAGCACGGAATGACGACTATGTTAGACCAGGGGGGGGTCCACGTAAAAGGGTCTAACATCATTGAAGAATACAAAGTTGGACCCCACATCTCTTAAACATCTATATATGATACATGTGCAAGGCAAATTCAGCTGTTGCCTTTGTTCCTCGTTTCTCATCGTTTCTCTTCAAGCGGTTTGTGTCTCCTTTTTGGAGGCGATCAACCGAACACTAAAGACGAATTAGTCAGATTAGACCTCTCCCTTTGACCCTACACGCAGTTTTGATTGAGTTGGTGCACACATTGATAGGTGAAGTCTAAAATGATGTCCCTACACACCCATTGAGCCTGTGATACACGTAGGGTGTGAAACTCTATATTAGACCTCATGACTATACATCAGCATTTAGTTACATCAGCATTTACTTTCTCAAAACCCAAAAAACAAATACAAACAATTTTATATGTAGATATAGGGGAACGAAGGCGGGAAAGGTCTAAGATGTCCTTCTAGAGGTGTTGCCGGTTACATATTTACGACAAGTTTGATGGATACCACCCCAGACCCAACATAGGTATATCACACCACAACCAGAAACAAAACGAAGACAAGGCTTGCAAAGTATTTCACACTAACT